TTAAGAGTAATGAACATAGTGAGGACTCTTATATAGGTCTTGCTGATTTTTTTTTTTTGCTTTTTCAGGAAAAAGGCTTAAAATTTGCTCACGCTCAGTTTTGATTTTTCGCGGCTTGATTGTAATTTCTTTTTGAGTTCAATGAATTTACATTCTTAACATGAAGGCAAACTCCACTATCGAACAGCGAAAGTGTAAAGGTCACGAAAAACGTGATCGACTTCTGATTTCGAAAATAGAAATTAATTATCAGATTTCCCAGCGAAATAGAAGTTAAACGTATTAATCCAGTTTTCTCAAATTGGGATAACTAAAGTGTCCATCATAAATTGTTCTACAACTTCAAAGAGCTTTAAGACCATCTATTTTTTCTTCGAAATTCAAAAGTTGATTTCTCTTGAAAAAAGAAGCCAGTTTTTTTTTTCAGTTTCCTTACGTTCATTACTCTCTTCCAACTGTTAGTTGGCTGTTTATTTGTTTTAAAATGTATCCAAAGGTGTTAAGGGTTCTTTTCTTCTTTTTGGTAGCCTGTTGAACAGGGCACTCGCTCGGACAAAGAAATTCTCTCCACTCTTTGATAGTTGCAGTTTCTAGTGTTCAAATTCGATATGAACGACAAATAGCAGAATTTTTTTTATTGAGCCGTGAGGCCTTGCTTTTGTTCTCATCACAGGACTGGAGAGTGCGTCACCGATTTTAATTCTCCTTTTGAGAACTGTGATATCAGAAGCTGGATTCTCAGTCCTCTGCTCTTTAGCTTAGTTAATTTCGATATCAGGATACCGCGATCAACGTTCCTTGTCAAAAGCTTTTTTCATAGTCTGTTTTTAAATGTATCCAATGAATTGAGCAGTTGTGGCGCATGACTGGCCCTTGTCAAACCACTAAGTGTGAATCGTGGAAGATTGTTTGCAGATGTCTCTACAAATAAATAGAAAGGGATCGTTCCAAGGTTTTTGTTATCGTTAAAAGTATGGATACCTGCTGGTAATTTTTATCAGATTTTGAGTTTTTCTTGGACTCATAAGCGATTTTTTACAGCAGATGGAATATACTCCAGTTTGTTTTACCTTGCAAAGTACTTGACTTGCAGGCTTACATATGCTCACCGCTCATCTTCTACAGGGTTGAAGAAAGAAAGTTGCCTGAATAGTTTGTGATTTTTAACGATATAATTTTTTCGGAATGTTTGGAGGTCTCCGGTTTCATCCAGAGAGATAGTTTAGAGAGTTCCGGACGGTGCATTGTGTGAAAGCACTATGTTTTTAGCCATATATACTCTAGCTCAGTCAGAACATTGAAATCACTCCAGCATATTGCACAAAAATGTTAATTTTCGATGTCTCTTAAGATGCTTTTCCAGTCCGCCTTAGGGTTGTTGAAGAAACGCCTCTTTTTGTAAAAAAAAATTGGTAGTTTTGATGTAATTACAATGGCCGCATGGTTTACCAGCTTTCTTGCAAAAGGATTTTGGTTCGTTTTTCTGATTAAGTTTTTATGGAGTTTTTCTGATGGAGTCTATGAACGTAGTTTAGCTTCTTCTATATATCGCGATGATTTTTTTTTCGTTATTTGCTCAGGAAATATATTTACAGGCTCAATTTTTCGGTGTCTTGGTTTGACTTTTTTAGTTCAACTACATTTTTGTTAAAAGGAAGGCGAACTCCGCTATGGAACAGCGAAAGTGTAAATGTCTCAAAAAACGTGATCGACTTCTACGTTCGAAAGTCGATTTTATTTTTCGGGTTTCCCAGCGAAATAAAAGTTTTACGAGTTTGGTGAGTTTGTGTCACCACTGTCAAAAAAAGCGTCAATCATAAGTTGTTCTAAAACTTTGAACAGCTTTAAAGCATCTGTTTGTTTTGAAACTTGAGACTTTAAAAAAAACAGGCTAGTATTTTAATCTGTTTATTTGCAGTTGTTGAATTTTTTCAAAAGTATGTTGACTGGTTGCTGCATAGTATTGGCAATTTATCAGTGGCTATTGTTTGTAATCTTCATGAGTCAGTGGCACAGACGTAAAGGTCAGTCGACTTAGATGCTTGAGGCATGTAGATCGTTTTCCATATAGGGGTTTTTCTTGGAAGCTTATTAATGTTTTTTTTACTCTTGCGATCAGCAAGCGTTTTTAAGCGGTATATAAGACTTTATTCAAGTTTTTAACTTGCTTAACACAGGCTCTTGGCTCATATGAATTCAAATTTCTAAGCGTCTGGAGGTAACGATAAAGCCTTGGACGGTTAAGGTCCTGGAATTTTTCGTTTCAAAAAAACCTTCCGCTCGTTGTTTGTCTGCTCACGTCTTGTTTGCTTAGTTGCAACACCTTAGATTTTTTGCTGTGGGCAATTTCCTGTTAGTTACTTTTTATGTTTTCATTTACTCTGGCAATTTGTAATTCTATTAACTTCGACCTCATATATTTTCCTCTTTTGTATAGGTTTAAAAAAATTTCGGCTGAAATGATTTTGGCTCAGTTTTTATCGGCCAATGGTTCTGGACGTGTTTTCCGCAAATAAAACATCATTCCTTACTAGTTTTTCTGTTTGATTTCTTCGAAAATGCTCATGTTTTCTTCGGACTTAAGGCCTTTCCTCACCTCTCTGCCAGCTTGCAATGCTATTTTTGTGGTATCGCAAGTGATGCGAAGCTCCGAATTCTCTTTTTTTCTAAAGCTACTTCTGGATCTTTTGTCGTGTTTTTGAGAAGTTTCGTTCATAGGAAAGACTGAAAACTTGTTCGCGTTTATTTATAAGACTTGATAAAGGAAGTGAAAGGAACATTTTTTTTCAATTATTACCCTTCTGATTGTCTATACTCACTCTATAGTAATATGCCGAATGTAAGAAAAATTAAGCTATGAGAAGCTCGGTTTCGTGAAATGATTTGCTGAAAAAAATTATGTCAGTTCTATCGAAGCGAAGCCAACACGAAACCGCATCCTTTATTCGAATTGCCCTAAAAATACAAGTTCTCGCGGAGTAAACGTTTGTTGGCAAATTCATCTTTGACGTTCAGAAAAACAGGAATCAAATTTGTTTTAAAGCTGCTATAGTACTCAGAAATCCGTTGATCTAGTGTCGGCTAAACTTAATTCGTATGCCCTCAGTTCTCTCCTTTATCACCAGGAACAGTATAACCTCAGTTTTGTCTTCATTTAACAATTCTTTGCATTTATCGTGTAGTTTTTGATCTTGTCTAGGTTTTGTGAATATTGTTTTATAGCTATTCAATTTCTAAGCATATTTGGAGGTCTCTGGTTTTATCCAGAGAGATAGTTTAGAGAGTTGTTCCGTACGGTGCAGTGTGTTAAAGAACTGTTTTCCAAACCTTATATACTCTAGCTAAATCAGAACACTAACATTACACAGCATATTCCCCAGTAATGTTAATTTTCGATGTCCCTCAAGATGGTTTCGAAGTCCGCCTTATAAAAGCTGAGAGTTCTTGAAGAAACGCCTTTTTTTTTATTATTTGTAACAAAAATTGATAGTTTGATGTAATTACAATGGCTTCATGGTTTACAAGTTTTCTTGCAAAAGAGGTTTTTGGTTTCTTTTTCTGGTGGCGTTTTAGAGTATATGAACGTAGTTCAGCTTCTTATATATGTCGCGATGATTTCTTTCGTTATTTATTTAGGAAAGTTTTTTCAGACTTAAGTTTACTGTTTCGCTGTTTGACGTTTTAAGTTCAGTTTTTTTTTGTTATCAGAAAGGCGAACTCCGCTATGGAACAGCAAAAGTGTAAAGGTCACAAAAAACGTGATCGATTTTTACGTTTGAAAGTCAAAATTATTTTTCAGTTTTCCAGCAAAATTTTTTTACCAGTCTGAAATTTTCTCAATTTTATCAAAAAACTGTCAATCATAAGTTGTTCTAAAACTTTGAACAGCTTTAAAGCAATTTTTTTTTGAGAGCTGAGAATTAAAAAAAAAACAAGCTAGTATTTTAATCTGTTCAGTTGCAATTGTTGACTTTTCCAAATGTCTGTTGACTGTTTGCTGCATAGTTTTGACAATTTAATGGCATGTGTTCTCCATTTTATTAGTGGCTTTTGTTTATAGTCTTCGTGCGTTAGTGGCACAGACGTAAAGGCTAGTCGATTTCGATGCTCGAGGCCTGTAGTTTGATTTCCGTGAGGGTTTTTTCTTGTAAACTTAATGTATTTAAGGCGTCTGTAGGTAACGATAATGCCTTGGAGTGTAAAGGTCTCGGGTAAATTTTTCTTTTCAAAAAAGTTTTGTCTGTTTAGTTGCCACACCTTAGATTTTTTTTTGCTGCATGCAGTTTTTCTTGTAGTTGCGTTGCTTTTTATGTTTTCATGTACTCCTGCAATTTTTAGTTCTACTAGTCATGACTTCGTATATTTTCCTCTTTTTTTCTAGCATAATAAAGGTTTCGGCCTAAATGATTTCGGCTTATATTTTGTCGGCTTACAAATCTAATGATTCTGGACGTGTTTTCCGCAAATAGAACATCATTCTAGACAAATGTTTTTTGTTTGTGATTTTTATGAAAATGTTTCCGTGTTCTTTGGACTTAAGGCCGGTCCTCGCCTCTCTGCCAGCTTGCAATGCTATTTTTGTGGTATCGCAAGTGATGCGAAGCTCCGCGTTTTCTTTTCTTTTTTAGCTACTGGGTCTTTTGTCGTGTATTTGAGAAGTTTCGTTGATAGGAAAGTCTAAAGACTTGTTCGCGGTTATTTATAAGAGTTAATAAGTGAAGTGAAAAGAAAATTTTTATTTTGATTGTTACCCTTCTGATTGTTTTTCTACGCGCACTCTATTGTAATATGCCGAAAGTAAGAAACATTAAGTTATGCGAAGCTCGGTTTCGTGAGTTGATTTGCTGGAAAAAAATTATCAGTGCTATCGCAGGGAAGCCAACACGAAACCACATCCACATTCAAATGCCCAAAAATGAATACAAGTTCTCGCGAAGTAATCAACCTGCTTTATTCATTAAAATATACAAAAAGCTCGTTTTTTAAATTGAATTGTTTAGATACAAAAAATACGATATGCGGAATCAAGCGCGGTCGAGGCAGAAGAAAGAAGACAAGAGATTCACTGGTAATATTCCCGACAACGTCTTGCCTGAAGCACCGCCCTCGATTTTAGAGGTTGGTCATAGTTTATGTACCTTGGGTAAGCACTAAGTGATGCCGTGTTGCAATCTTTTTTCATATATTTATAACTGTGATCTATTTGTTAACTTTTACCGGGATAATCGATATCTTAAGCTGTATTTCATTCTAGATAATTATTCAATGAACGTAAGGAAGGTTCTTTTTTTAGGTCTTGATTTATTAATTTATTGCTCATCCGAATTTAGTCGATTGTTTAGAAAGATCGTTTGCCAAATGTGGCGGTTGAAGACAGACGGTACAAGCCAATTCAGCTGGAAATTGGGGAGTTAGAGCTACCGGATCAGTTAGAGCTCACAAGTTAGTATTCTTTTTCGAAGTTAAACATTAAATATATTTATGTAGCCGTGGCTCTGCCGTCATTAGGCCACTCCACTTTTTCAAAGCAGGCTGCATAGTTGAGTGCAAATTTTATGTGTTAAGATGAGATGAGCTAGCTGTATCTGCTTTATTAAAGCGCATTCTTTGCTGCAAGCTATCTACGAAAAAGGTTCATATGAAAATCATTGAACAATTCGAGACTTTTTCAGATGTGGCTATTGTTCCGTACTCCAACAGGCAGGACGTTTCTTCTATTGCGCCATCCGCGCCAGCTGCCGACTTGTCCAAGATCCAAGGCCTGAAAGACGTCGAACCAACTATATTTAACGCTTCGGGTCCACCTCCGCCGCCTCCCAACCCGTCGGATTTACCACCACCGCCACCCGGACCTCTTCCCCCACCGCCGCCGGGTCCGAACTTTGATGCAAGTGGTGTTCCGGGACCCCCGCCGCCACCGCCTCCTCCACCCCCTCCGCCGCCCCCACCAGGACCAATGATGCCGCCTGCCCCGAAGCCTTCGTCGTCAAAAGAGCAGCCATCGGGAGAGGAAGAGAATGATAGAAGTGCACTGAACAAAGCTCTCACCGATGTAAGTTAATATAATGAATCAGTCAACAAAAAAACTGCAAGCAAAACCGATGGCAAACTACCTCTTGAACTAGTTATATTGATTAAGTTTTTATGAACGCTGTAAATTTTCACTTAATTTGGTCGTGTCGTTTTTTTCAGGAAAGTCTTAGATGGCATTCATGCTAATATTTCCTTTTATAGGTTTTTACTTCGATTTTTACTCTTGCTCCTTTTTTCTAGGTTAAAATCTTGTCTAATGGAATCAGTGAAATCATTTGATAGCTTTCTTCGTAATGGTGCTGCACGTTTAGCTTGGAGGTTACGGCCATGCCTGACACTCCGATGGCAGTGGGTTTGAATCCGGCCAGGACGTGTTTTTTTTAAACTGAAACTATTGTTTGACTTAATCTTGTTGGATTAGTTGACACAGCACGGACTTTCCATGATTAGATCAAAAAGATTTTCAATTGTAAAATTTCATTATTGAATCTGGACGAGCTTTGAGTTGATATTTTTTTTTGGAAACTTTCCTTTTTCTTGGTTTTAGGGAGTTCATTAACGCTTTTGCCATTGTCTGTTGGCTCTGTTATTTTGGTAGCAATGAAGCTTTTTTCTTTTTTTATCTTGTTATGCTTTTCGTTTTTAAGCAACGTTGTTCAGGCTCTTATATAGGACTCTTATATGGTTTTTTGTTTCGTTTTTTTTTTCAGGAAAAATTTTAAAATTTTTTCAGGCTCAATTTTACTTTTTCCGAGGTTTGACTTTTGATTTCATTTTAAGTTCAATTTATTTCCTTTGGTAACAAGAAGGCAAAGTTTGCTATCAAACAGCGAAAGTGTAAAGGTCACGAACAACGTGATCGACTTCTGATGTCGAAAAAGGAATTAAATTATCGAATTTCCCAGCGGAATAAAAGTTTCACCTATTGATGCAGTTTCTCAAATTGGGTTTATTTTATCGAAAAAGTGTTAAGCTTGAAAGTGTTAAGATCTTTAAGGCCATCTATTTTGTTCTTTGAATATCTAAAGTTGAGGTTTTTTCAAAATATATATTTTCTATTTTCTTACGTGCATGACTTTTTTCAACTGTCTGTTGGCTGTTTAACTTGGATGAGCTGTTTTCCGTTTTTCAGCCTTCAATGGGAATTGCGCGTTTGAAGAAGGCGAGTGAGAGGAGAGCAGAGAAAAAGAAGGCAAAGGAGCCGCCTCCTCCCAAGACCAATGACTTCATGGGGGAGTTGTTTAAGCAGGTCTACAGGAGGAGGAATCACATGGCAGGTCAGGAGAGACAAGATATTTGTTTTTTTTTAAGAGGCGACAATTCGTAATATGTTAATTGGCAACTACTAATTACTTTATTAATTTATACTCCTGTAGACATTACAAAGTTAATCAAAATTTACAAATTTGATTAAATAAATCAATGAAATCCAACAATCACAGCCTTGCTAGGAGTATAAGCAATTCAAAGTTCATGATGTTTATGCCCCTAAACGTCAACATAAAGTTTAAAGTAATAAATAGAAAGTTCTGTTAAGCTTAACTTAGATGGTAATATTTGTTTCTTTACATTTTTCTGACCGCGTCTTTTCTGTGTTCATTTAACTTGTAAGTCAAAGTACAATCTAGAATGCTCAAAAGCCTCACTGAGAGCTTAAGTAATGCCCCGCTTCAGGTGCAAAATATCACTTGTTTTCCGGATGCAAGCGCAGTTGTCGCCTCTTACAAATTGCCTCCCAACCGTTTTTCTGTCGCTTAAATTTATCGGACATTGTAGCAACCAAATCGGATATTGTAGCAACCAAAAATACATGTCCAAGCAGTATACAAAAATACATTAAACAATTAATATGAAATGTTCCACAAAACAATCAAAGAGAGAATATAGAATAAAGTTTGTAGTTGAGTTGTTCATGAACCATGTGGAACCTGATCTAAACTACATTTTATGATTGGATAAATTAGATATTTTACCACTGTAAAGTATTTAATATTAACCAATCATGATCCATCTAACTAACAACCCACTTATTTGTTAGTGCTGAAATTACTTGTAATTTCAGCACCAGAGAGATTTGAATTTAACTTAGAAATTAGTTGACTCTCCAAGAAGACTTCAGCAGCCGCAATAAACCAGTATACCCTAGATCTATTGAGCCTAGCAGAGACTAGATAAACAACCTGAGACTAGATAGTATAAGAGTAAGATTAGGATCGGTATTAGACTAAGAAGTTGCACGAATCTATCCGGCCGAAAATAAGATAGCGTGACGAGCAGACGGTGTACCCTATCCGAAATTACTCTATGAGTTATACACTTCGGTCCTAACTCATCTGGTGCGACCATAAGTCTCGAACAAGACCTTAATAGCTTAGAATTAACCAAAAATAGATTAGAATTTAGACAAAACATTTTTAAAATGTTACACGACGATAATTTAATCGAAATGTCTCTACGACTCAATAGATCAAAGCCAATATTCCGAACGATAAGAGAACTACCCGGAATTGCAAGAAGACCTCGAACCAGAGACGACATACGACAAAGTAGAAACTTACCATATAGTTATATGATAGTTCGGCAAAAGCCAACACAAACTTTTGTATTTAGAATACTACTAGCAATGAATTTAGATTTTCATTTGCAAACATAAAATTTTGAAGTCAATCTTCAAAATCATTTCAGGCGCTAAACAAAATTATTAATATACAATAACGATTGATAAAAAGATCTCAGATCGTTTTCCTAAATTCTGCAGTAATATACAAAACATGTTTGAAAAATATTTATTGAAAAATCAAAATAAAAATTAGTAGCATGACAATAAATGGTTAGTAATCATAAATCATCCTGTTGTTCCAGCTTCATCACCTAAACATAACAGCATTCATAAGCTCACTAATATTATAAAAACACTAAATCTTTTCTCTACACAAATTTAAATCATTTTAAACTTAATTTCACTTAAATTTAAAATCAGATCATCAAGGCTCATCCTTGGATCTTAAATCATTTTCTATTTAATTAAATTTAAAACTTGATCATCAAGGCCTATCCTTGGATCAAAAAGAACAATTTTGTTCTCCCCCACCCACTTGGCTAGTGTCTAACGACCTCAAACGTCGATTCACTATCCAACCCTTTCTAAAACCCAGGACTAACAGAAATTTTTGAATAAAACTAATCATTCAAATTAGGATAAACAGTGAAGAACTTCGGTTATTCATCCTTCACTTGATCCCCCCTCTTACCAGACCCAGGATAAATCTTAAACTTAGTAAGTTTAAAATAGTATCTAACGAACTACTCGCGTTCTAATTATACCTGAACCTTGTGGATCGATTTACTATTCTCCAACCCTGAACACAATCACTACCCTTAAGTAAGATTAAGTAAGTTAACACCTTAGCTTATACTAGCCACGAGAAAGTAAAAAATCATTCTTCGGAATCGATATACTTTTCTCCCCAACCCTGAACAAATAGACCCAGGTTAGGCTAACCAAAAAATCGTAAGGACTAACAGTCTAAGAAAATAGAAATCATTTAACAACCTTTTGCATCCGTCATCTTAAACCTTATGTCATTTAAAAACCTAGGAAATAAACAAACAATCGTTTTACACAATTGTGAAATAGATAACAAAAAATACGATCTTGTAATCACACCTCATACACAAACAGTTGGATATATCAGAACAAAACGACAAACATTAAAAAGAAAAATAATAACCAAACAAAGACAAATAACACGAAAAAGATTTTCCAAAAACCGAAACGCATTTTCAGAATCAGAAACCAGCAGTTTAGACGAACTTTATAAATTAAAAGAATCTATAGATAAAAATTGCCCCATTCACGATCAATTATATTTTTCCGACTCAGAAACAACTTCAAATTCATCAAAAAGAGGAAAAAAAAGAATAAAAAAACAATATAAACACAAACCAGTACATTTATACAATTGGAATCAACCAATTAGACACATCGATAGTTACATATTAACAGTCATCAAACGAAAAAATGAGCTCAACACACACCCCAGGTGAAGAAAGTCCAGATGATGATGATATCTTCCCCTTTATCGTAGATGCAACCACAGATAGAGGACAGCACATATTTTGCAAAAATTTACTCTTAAATTTGTTTGAACCCGGAATCAGTCCATGTAAAACAGAGTTCCCAGATGTAAAAATCAAAAGACAAATTATCGATCACTATTTGAAAGATATATGCAACTTAACACAACAATACGGAATCTACTCCATACAATTCAGCTCACCAAACCAGAATCACAGCAAATATGTAATTCAAACAGACGACCTTGATTTAGAATTCTCAAAAGTATTCTCAGAATATATAAAAAGCATACAATATCATAACTCACAAAGAGCAAACTCCATATTCACCAATGAAGTTTTTGCAATAATATATAGTTATATCTCGATATTAGAAAACGAAATCCCAATCTCAAATGTCTCACCGACAGAAACATCTAAACATATAAGAGTACGACATGAAATCACACTACTCTCTAGTTTTCTAAACATAATTAAAGAAAATTTCACTAAAGATGATGTTTCACAACATACAAAACATGACTTACAAAAAATCTTAGCATGGTTTATAATAGATTATTTCACACATAATCTAGATTTAATTTCACAAGCAAGAAAAAATTTTAGACCTCAAAACTCAAACGATGATACTGCCATCACAGAACAGTCAGACTATGTTTGGGACCCCGAATGATCTCATCCCGCATTCATAAACTTCCCACAATCAATCTCAAGTCAAGCAATAAGTACGATATCTTATGTAAGAGATTATGTAAAAGTAATACCATTAACCATTGATGCAACACCATTAAACTATAATACATTTTTACCCGATATGCAAAATAATAGTTTAAACTCCACAATCATACACAATGAAAACCTCAATGGAACTAGAAATCTCACCCAGCAAGATATCCAGACACCATCACACTTCATAAATGAAGAAATCGTACACACAACAACTACACAACAAAGCATTTCACCGATACGTCCAAATTTAACAACACCAAGAAATACAAACCCTTCACAAACACAGGTAACCCTACAATCAACCGTTAAACCTTCGGTTGCCCCAAAATATTCACACATGGATTATCAAACATACAGACCCATGACAATACCGTCAAAAACACGTAAAACGTTCACTAGAAACAATTTTGCAGAACATAATTATAATTACACACATCCATCAAAAACAAATTATCCCCCACGAAAAAATTTTAATAATTACACAAGATCTCGAAACTGGGATAACCCAATAGCACAAATTAATTCAGTAAATTTTCAAACAAATTTACATCCTTCACAGGATCGTAGTGAAAACTATCCATTTTTTCAACAAAATAAAAATAAAAAACAAACATCTTATCAAATGGATTACTTATCCTCAGATGATGATTTTTTACAACCAGATATATTTGCACCATATAATCAAGAATATCGTGGACAAGGAGTACAGAAACCACATACAAATCATAGAATTTTTTCCCCACAACCGATAGATACACAAAATCAACAACCAATTCAGCAACAAAACCCAATTAATACACAATATTTTCAACCAATTCAGCAACAAAACCCAATGACCACACACTCGTATCAACCGACGCAAATGCAAAATGAAATACCACTCCCATATTATCTTCAACAACACGAAATAACAAGAAATCAACTTTCAAATTTTTCTCAAATGCCAAATGCAGCAGAATCATTACAAATGACAATGAATCCATACCTTATGGGTGGATCATCAATAACATCAAATAAACCTTTAATGGTATTCACAGGAACAGACCCTGAATATTCTGTAGAAGACTATTTAAATGCAGTAACAGCAAATTTGATTTTAAATATAGGACCTGAACCAATTAATACGCCACTACATCAAAACTGGATACATCGACGCACAGGGTTGATACAAACAACTTTAGACGGCGCAGCCCAAAAATGGTTTTCAGTATTGCCTCTAGAAATAAAATCAAATTGGAAGAGATTTACACAAGAATTTTCAAAAATGTTTGACTCCGAAAGAAACAAACAACAACAAAGAGTTTTATGTAATGAAATTCGCAGATTACCAAATGAAACCATCAAACAATTAGCAGTACGCATCGAAACACTAGTTCGAAAAGCATATTCCTTAAATACACACGACTATAAAAACACAAAAATGACAGAAATCTTAATGATGACCTTAACACCTCAATTAAGGAAAATAGCA